ATGATATTTTTTTATTTTTCTTTCAGATTTGGCGGACATTTGGGCGATATTATTTTTCGAACATAATTGCCATGACTTAAATAACCTGATCCAATAGAGAAATAAATAAATTTTCAACAATAACACTGATTTATTTACTGCTGACTTTGACCAGCTTAATGAAACACCTTTATATCTAATCCGTCTTAATGAAACACCTTTACATATATGTATATATATATATATATATATATATATATGTGTGTGTGTGTGTGTGTGTGTGTGTGTGCAATTTATTTTCAGGTAGAGTGTATCTGTAATTAAACAAAATGAATAAAAGTGACAAGAGGAAAAACTGTTCTTAACAGACGCCCTTCTTCCGCTGAGGGATTTTTCTCAAGGCAAATGTAAGATTTGATTTTGCTGCACGATAAATCGATTTGCACTAAATGACGTTGATATAGTATTGTCATACACACACACACACACACACACACACACACATATATATATATATATATATATATATATATATATATAAAAGAAAGGACAGTAAGAATATAATCCGGTGTTCTTATAGATATTTTTTATTTTTACAAAATAGTGCTCAATATAAATTTACAGAGTATTAATATTATAAATTAACTGATTTAAAATATTCTAAAATTTTCTAACCATGTTTCAAAAATGGAAGCTAAAAGCTTCGAATTTCATTTTGTAATTAAATTAAAGACATTAGTTCCATTTCATATATTTAATATATATATATATATATATATATATATATATATATATATATATATATATATATGAATTATAAGATAAGGAAAATCATTTTAATGGATACATTTCGTCCTCTGAAGGACTTTATCAAGACAAATGTAGGATTTATTTGCTTGCACGTGTTTCTATACAAAAGCAAGGATGCCATTGGTTTGCCAAGGCATTTAAATTTGAGAAACGTTCATGAAAATATTTATCAGGTGGTTGAAAGGTCGCTTAAAACTTGTGGACAACACAAATCATGAATGTTCTCAAATTCGATAAACAAATGATACACTTGCTCTTGTATATAAATACGTGCAACAAAATAAATCCTATATTTGCTTTGACAACGTCCATCGAACGACGAAATGCGCCGGCTAAGAACAGGTTCACCTTGTTTTTATTTATTCATATATAAGTATGTATATATGTCTTTGTTTGTACGGCAGTACTATGAGTGTCATTTAGTGCAAATCGATTTATATCTCTGTAAACACTGAGTAATTTTCTCAAGGACTTAATTACCTTCTTGTTTCAAATATTAATTCATATTCTATAATTTCTCGAACATCGATTTCTGATCTGTGAGGGCGTCGGTCGACCATTTTGTCTGCCTCCCCATCTGTCTGTGCCAGTCCAATTTTCAATTATGGTAGAAGATGTCAAGAAAATTAATAGTCGAATAGGTACATAGATAATGTACTTAATAACAAGTATGTATCTTTATCTCTCTTAAAATGTATCTATCTCTATCGATCTATCTATCGCACTCTGCTCATTTGTATCGATCTATTTAAGAACTTTCCCATCTCAGGCTTTTCATATCTACCTACCTATCTATCTAAGAATATTTATCTAAGAAAGGATTAATATATTTGAATATAATTATTAAAAATAACTAAATAACATACATACATTTACAGATAGTTATCGTTTATATATATTCGACTCTCGCGTCGAATACGACGTATAAGGGTCAAGCAGATCAGTTCGTAGGAAACCGACAGCCCGACAACAGCACATGAGATTTGATTATAGGGCCGAATACAGACACCTGGTGCACTACGTGCCACATGGTCCCCAAACAACCCTCCGCAGGTTTTGAATTCAGAGTTGGTCTTCTCAAGGCTATAGAACCCAGTCTGTCCTGCTATTTACCCATAGCTGGAGGAAGCAGATGATTCAAACTTTTCCCAAGGGTATTAGCACGTAAGTGAATATAATAGATTCTACTGGAATTCGAACTCGGCTCTCCGATTCCTCAATCTCAGTCGTTATCCATTACTCCTCCGTGTGTGTATATTGTATATATATATATATATATATATATATATATATATATATATATATATATATATATATATATATATATATATATATATATATATATATATATATATATATATATATATATATATATATATATATATGAAACCTAGGTAGGTCTGTCTTGCTCACTGTATTGAGCGCTTTAGCAGTTTTTTAGTTGTTTACTCGTATCGGGGTTTTTTCTTTGGGATTCAGGCCTGTATCTGTTTTTTTTTTTTGTCGGCATAAGTTCATGTTTGTAGCTCTTTCTTTTTTTAAAACCTTTTTTTTTTTCCCTCGAGATTGATTTGATTATTAGCAAATCAAAAAATTCGAGGTTTTTCAAAAAACGAGTCCAGTTATCTATAATTCTATATATATATATTTTTATTTCTACAAAACAGCTTATATTTTTTTGAAACATGTTAATTCCTGTGTAGCGAAGAAAAAACCATATTATTCATTAATATATATATATATATATATATATATATATATATATATATATATATATAGTTGGACGTGTGAGTCTATTGACTCTGGGTTTCACGCTATTTGCGATCGTCAGACAAACTGATTTTTTTTTTAAATTTTGGATTTATATATGGTTGCGTATATTAATGTTTTTATGGTACTAGGAGGAAAAATTTCGAAGTGGGGGGAAAAAATTGTCGTAAGTTTGAGTGGCGTCCCAACGACAATTTTTCCTCCCACTTCTAAAATTTTTCCTCCCACTTTCAAAATTTTTCCTCCCATTTCTATAAAAACACCAATATACACAACCATATATAAATTCGCCAGAGAGGAGCGTTTCGATTAGCAAGGTCGATGTAATGGAGAAAGTCATGGAGAATTGTGTTTAAATACAGTAAAATCGACTTTGTTAACCGGACGCTACTCTGTGGCCCAATCGGTAAAGGCACGTCAGGCTATGTGACGATTCCGTATAAAATACAGGTTCGATTTTTGTCGGAGGGCGGATATTTTCTATGAAAATTTCTCTGATATTCAGGCCAGTAAATGTTGTTAATACTGTTTATTATAAACAGCATTTACTTAAATATTTCTATTTATAATAAGAACGTATAAACATAAAAAAATGTCTTAAAAAAATTGTCGGACTTTGTCCATTTTCATAATAAAAAAATGTTATTCTGTATAAAAAACTTTTTTTTTTTTTTTTTTTCCTGTAGATGAATAATTCCTCTTCCTTCTTATCCGTGCCACGTTGTTTTCAAATATTGATCAAACTTATATACCTACCATAGATCTACTTTGATCTACCCTTAATTATTTGACTATCAGACCTTAGTACTGAGGTTTTCAAACCAAGTTTGCAAAACTGGCAATCTGTTGCAAAACAATTTCTCCTAATATCCGGATATAAGAGTTGAGGTGTTTTTCTTTTCTGACAGTTGCCGTTGTTTGGTTTGGGAATATTCTTTCTTTTATTTCTCTTCTTTTACTAAGGTCACCCCCTCCCACTCGTAGCGTTACTTTCCGAAGGAATTCGCTACATACCATGCTAGACAATATTCTCAACAGAATCTGTCTTACATATTTATAAGTCTACCATTCACTCATGCATTAAATATTTCTGCTACATCTGGTCTGGTGTTTTTGCTGTGTACTTAGAGATTCTTGATAAAATCCAAAGAATAATCTGCAATGTTAATGGTCATGACCTGGCATCTCGGCTTCAGTCATTTCCCACCGACGTAACGTAGTTTCTCTCTGCCTTTTCTATAAAATATTTTCATGGTTATTGTTCTGGTGAATGTTTCGCTGTCACCACGAATTTATGAAATTAAGCGCAGTACTAGATTGTCGGTGAGGTCTCATCAATTTACAGCTGGAGTGGCTAAATGTAACCGTAATTACTGTGGTAATAGTTTCTTCTATCGCACTTGTGGAACTTTCTTCCGGCTTCTTCCTTCCCAGTCAACTTTGATCTTCACATGTTTAAATGCAATGTCAATCTTTATCTTCTCTCTTCTTAATTCCTCTTCTTTTATTGTTCTCTCTCCTTAATAATGTTTTCCTTTTTCTCATATTCTTTCACACTCAGTAACCCATTGCGTCTTAGTGGCTTTATTGCCTTGCTTGGAGAGAAACGATTAAAATTTAAATGCAATGTCAATCGTTATCTTTTGTCTTCTTAATTCCTCTTCTTTTATTGTTCTCTCTCCTTAATAATGTTTTTTCCTTTTCTCATATTCTTTCACACTCAGTAACCCATTGCGTCTTAGTGGCTTTATTGCCTTGCTTGGAGAGAAACGGTTAAAATTTAAATGCAATGTCAATCGGTATCTTCTGTTTTCTTAATTCCTCTTCTTTTGTTGTTCTCTCTCCTTAAGAATGTTTTTCTTTTTCTCATATTATTTCACACTCATTAACCTCTTGCGTCTTAGTGGCTTTATTGTCTTGCTTGGAGTGAATTGATTTTTCAAAATATATGTAAATATTAAAGTTTAATATGAAATCATTTGAAATTTTCTACGACCACGTGGTAAGAAAATTTTGTTTTGGCTTACTTAGGGGGGAACTAATTACAATGAATTTACGTAGCAAACTGAACCCCCTTTTTTAAAATGTAGATGACTGGAAAATGAAGAAATTTATATTTTTATATTCGTGGTCTGGAATGTTTATTAGATAGGAATATAAAAAAAAATGGAAAAAAATATATGTAATTTCTTGCAGAGGTGCGTTTCTGTAGAAAGGCCGAAAAATGATGTAGTTTTTGGTGCTGCCTCTCTACGACTAAAACTTTTGAATACTGGGCCAACAGAATCTTCTTATTTGCTTCCAACAATCTGTCTTTCGATCTACAATTTTACTTGCCTATTTATTTCTGCAATAAAAAAGAAAAAAAACTGCCTGGGTCAGTGCTCCGTTTTATCAGTCATCTTCCACATTTCAGTTTTGAATGGCATGTTCTGATTCGAATGTCTGTCGTATTCCATTCGGTTTCGTTCCTACCTCTTCCTTCATTCAACTAATTTGATTACTTTTTCCACTACACCTTCCATTTTTTTTTCTGTCGTCACCCCACCCCCCGATCTCCTTTAATATATTCCCTTTTCTAGTTTTATTTATTTTTTTCTCAGTATCAGATAAATAAAAAGGCATGCTAACAATCATATCGTTTTGACGTCAACAGCAAAATGATTTCTCTTAAAATCCCCACGAGTAGCAATTAAACCTGGACTCGTCTACTTCCGAACAATTCTCGCCGCTTTTTTTTTTCCTTTTGAAGAAACTTTTTTTTTGTGTTCAACATTATATTTTATTAATATTTTTTCAAATTTTCTTTCATTTTTTTTTTAATATTTTTCTTTCATTTTTTTTCTTTTTCTCTTTAGTTTCTTTCATTTTTCGTTTAATATAAAAAAGCGAAAAAGATTTTTTTTCTTTGCTTTCTTTTACAGATTTAAGAATTTCTTTTACCATTTTTTTTATTTATTATTCCTTCAGAATTCATTCATTCTCTCTTTTTTGCTATTGGTTTTTCTTTTACTGTTTTTTCATTCATTTTTCTTCTTTTCAGTCTTGTCTTTTTCTCCTGATTTTCTTTCTTTTACTTATCCTTTCTTTCTGGTCTTTCTCAATTTTTTTCTTATCTTTCGTTCCTTCAGGAAGAAATGTTTAATTCTGTTTGTTTTCTTTCTTCATTTCTTTCTCTTGACTTTTCTTCTCTTTTCTTTATCCTTTTTCCATTCATTTCAGTCGTTCTTCTGTTATTCATTCTTCTCCATTTGGAAAATTTCTTTCTTTCTCTTTCTTTTTTTTCTCTTATCTTTTCCTTCATTTTTTTCTTCTTGTTCTTATTTGTTTCTTTTTTATTCATTTTTTCATTCTTTTGCAAAACTTCTTTCTTTCTCTCTTTCTTTCTTGCCCTCATTTATTCTTCGATTCCTTTTTTCTTTCTTTCTTTCTTTCTTTCTTTCTTTCTTTCTTTCATTCATTCTTTCTTTCTTTCTTTCTTTCTTTCTTTCTTTCTTTCTTTCTTTCCTGCCCTCATTTATTCTTCGATTCCGTTTTTATTTCTTTCTTTCTTTCTTTCTTTCTTTCTTTCTTTCTTTCTTTCTTTCCTGCCCTCATTTATTCTTCGATTCCATTTTTCTTTTTTTCTTTCTTTCTTTCTTTCTTTATTTATTTATTTATTTATTTCACTTCATCCTTTTTTCGTGTTTTTTTCGTTTTATTTCTTTCTTTCTTTTTTCACTTCTGTCTTTCGTCGTTTCTCTCTTTCAGTTAATTTTCTTAAATTTCCTTTCTTTCTTTCTTTCTTTCTCAACTGCCTTTCTCCCTTTTTAATAAGTTTTCCTTCAGTCATTGTTCTTTCTTTCCTTCCTTCGTTATTTCCTTCTTTCTTTTTTCACTTCTGCCTTTCTTTGTTTTGTTTTTTTTTTTTTAGTTTTCATTAATTCTTTTCTTTCTTTCTCTTTTCGTTTTTCTTCCATTTTCTTTCTTTTCCTATCCATTCTATTTCTATTTAATTCTTTCGTTAGTTCTTAGTTTCTTTCTTTCTTTCTTTCACTTAATGTTTTTCACTTCCTTTTGTCAGGTTTTTTTCTTTTACTACTGCCTTTCTTCGTTTTTAATAATTTTCTTTCAGTCATTCTTTTTTCCTTCCTTCCTTCGTTTTTTTTTCTTTTTGTTTTGCTTCCAGTTTTCTTTTTCTATCCTATCTTTTTTTTTCGTTAGTTCTTTGTTTCTTTCCTTTCTTTCTTCCTTTCTTTCTTTATTTCTTTCTTTCAATTAATTTTCTTCATTTTTTTCTTTCTCAGGTTTCTTTCTTTCTTTCACAACTACCTTTCTTCATTTTTATTAAGTTTTCCTTGTCTTTCTTCTTCCCTTTGTTCGTTCGTTATTTCTTTCTTTTTTCTTTCTTTTTTTCTTTCTTTCTTTTTTCTTCATATTTTTTATCCTAGCCACTTCTTTCTTTTTTTTCTTTCTTTCTTTCTTTCTTTCTTTCTTTCTTTCTTTCTTCACCATTTCCTTGCTTTCTGTCTTTCTTTTCTTTCGTTTTTCTTTTCCTCCCATCTTCCTCTCACCTTCATTCATCCAGACCCCTTTCTTTGACTCTTACTCTGATCCCACTTTTTCGACTCCACATAGTTTTTTTTCCTGTCATCCTTTACTAGTGTAATCAACTCGACAATCTCAACGACCATTCAATCAATTTCATTACTTTCAACAGTCGCATCCGGGCACTCCGATTATTACTTCTGCGCATGTGCCTACTTGATACGTAAACAATTTTAATGATCTACTCAGCCTCGGCTTCCGGTTTGGCTTGGGCAGCAAAGTTGGTCGACTTACAGACGTTCACTATTCGATGCCAAGTCTCATACAAAATATCTTATCCCAGTGTAGCCAAACAGATAAATGCATAAAGTAGAAATTACACCCGAGTACAAAGTCTTTCACGTTAAAGTATCTTGTAGATTAGTGTCTACTTGAAAGGTTTCATCGTCGGTTAGGGAAGATTATTTTTCTTACAGTTATATTGTTAGTAGCAAGGCTAACTGGCGTTGCTCGTGTATTATCTTATTAAAATTCTTCTTGGCCCACACTTAGGCCCAATCAATATTCTATAGATAATGGACTATTCTGTTTTGATCGCGTGGAAAGATAGAAAAGACATATCAGAGAGACTACTTCGTTTCAGTGAAAAAAGAAAGAAAGAAAGAAAGAAAGAAGGGAAAATAGAAGTGTTTAACGTCTGTTTCAGTGAAATGGGAAAAAATTATTTTCTAATTTTTTTTTCATTTGTACCCCCTTACTTCTGAAAGTAACGGCTATTATTCATACTTATGATTGCTATTGCAATACAATATGGGAACCAGTAATAAGGAGTGCCAGAGAAAAGCGATAACAACAACAAAAATTGCAATATGAGCTCTGCTAAAAAATATGAAATGATAACAGCAAAAATTGCAATATGAGCATTGGTAAAAAAAAAAATGGTTGCTGAAGACATTAGGTTTATAATACCCAGAAATTTATACACAGATGTCTTTAAGTACACATTGCACAGTGTATAAAGGTGTTAGATCCAGTGACAGGACCCAAAGAGTGTGAGTTCAATACCTGGTTAAGGCGGTGGAGAACCTTGAGAATTAACAGGAGATAACTAGAACAGTCTAGTAAAGGGTTCAGTTCGACATGAATAGACCAAATATAGTAATAAGAGATTTCAAAAAAGGAACCTACCGAATAATTGATATGAGTTACTCATAGGATTCCAACGGTCGAAACGTTGTAATAAATATGGCTACAAAGATGAGGACAATAGTTTGAATAATGTAAATAGTGTACATAATACCTGATCTCAGAAATATAGACAGATACTGAATGGTCGAAACGTTGTAATAAATATGGCGACAAAGATGGGGACAATAGTCCGAATAATGTAAATAGTGTACATAATACCTCATCTCAGAAATATAGACAGATACTGAATGGCCGAAACGTTGTAATAAATATAGCGACAAAGATGAGGACAATAGTCCGAATAATCTAACTAGTGTACATAATACCTCATCTCAGAAATATAGACAGATACTGAAAGGCCGAAACGTTGTAATAAATATGGCTACAAAGATGAGGACAATAGTCTGAATAATGTAAATAGTGTACATAATACCTCATCTCAGAAATATAGACAGATACTGAAAGGCTGAAACGTTGTAATAAATATGGCAACAAAGATGAGGACAATAGTCCGAATAATGTAAATAGTGTACATAATACCTCATCTTAGAAATATAGACAGATACTTAAGCTCAAATATTTAATAATGCGATAGGGGAACTTCCATGGATATTTTATTCAATGACTCAGAAAATTTAAATAACATTCTCATTCTGTTCATTATCTATCTATCTATGTTGTTTCATTATCTATCTATCTATCTATCTATCTATCTATCTCATTGTATCCATTATCTGTCTATCTGCCTCGTCAGTCATGCATCGAAAGATCACTTAAGCATGGCACATAATAACAAAAATGTCGAAACTCCCTGTTGTGATAGCGGTATTGGGTATGATAAAGAAGGGTACCGAAAATCATGTGAGTAAAATTCTTGGAGAGATCAGTATCAGAAAACTACAAAAGATTACTCTGTGCAGAACCGCACATATTATCCGCAAAACGGTCTCCTTCTAAAGAAACGCGTCCCAAATGTGCATAAATTACTCTCTTTCAATGACCTTTTTAACCATAGTCCCCGGAGGCGACTTGCAACAAGGGGTAAAAAAAAATGACTCTCCTGCAAGTTGAGGCCATAAATAATAATAATAATAATAATAATAATAATAATAATAATAATAATAATAATGATAATAAAGAACATGAAGGAAATAAGAAACTGTATTCAGTAATAAAGGAAGCCAACAAATTCAAAATGGAATTTCAAGTGGGTGAAGAAGTGCGAGTAAAACATAATACGCCTACTGTAGAGGCAAAGAATTTTAAAAAGAAAACAAAAGCAAATGCAATGTATCAAATGCAGAATATACTCTTCCCGTAGCAAACAAGCTGATGTAGACAAATCCCGTAACCATCAGTAGTTACGTAGTGCTGGGTTGAAAGCTGAAACCAAAGATTTTATTTTTGCCGTACAGGACCAGTGCTAACTAGACATTACCAAGCACATATACTGAAAAACTGGGTTGACACCCAATGAACAGAGATAGATAGATAGATAGATAGATAGATAGATAGATAGATAGATAGATAGATAATGAACATAATGAGATAGATAGATAGATAGATAGATAGATAGATAGATAGATAGATAGATAGATAGATAGATAATGAACATGAGATAGATAGATAGATAGATAATGAAGATAATGAGATAGATAATGAACATAATGAGATAGATAGATAGATAGATAGATAGATAGATAGATAGATAGATAGATAGATAGATGAACAGGGTGTGGGCAATGAAGACTGAGACTGTGCCAATAGTAATTAGATCTGTGGGCCACGTGAGAAAAGGAATGGACAATTTTACGGACAGTGTTCCAAGTGACATCAACATGCAAGCTGCCCAGAAGATCTTCCGACTAGCAACGTCCCATATACTAAGAAAAGTTCTATAAATTAAATGACAATTCTCCTATGGGGCCTAAGGTTCATAGTTTGGACCCGGCTCTACAGAATACAAAGCAGGAAACATAACACACAAACAATAAAAATAATGCGTTGTTAATAATAATAATAATATTAAAAATTGTGATGATTCCAAATGCAGATTCTGTGATAAATACCCAGAAACAATTGATTATCTTGTATCAGGTTATACGGTATTGGCACCCATTGAATATAAAACTCAGCATGGCGGGGGTGGGCCAATATCTGCACTGGAAAATATGCAACTTTTAAGGGACTTTTAAAAAGAAGGAAACTACAAAAAACTGGTGTGAATGTCACCCAGGATCTGTAACAATTTTATGGGACTTTAAAATATACACAGACAGAACAATCAACACTAATTGCCCCAAACATCGTGATCAAGGACCTCAGAATGTGTTTTTCTTCTTGATCATGATGTATCTTTAAAGATCTTAAAAAATCCAAAATACAAAGATCTTGAAATGGAAATCTCAAAAATGTGGCACATGAAAGGACATCAATAATTCAGTTGTAGTTGGAGCACTCGGATTGATTGGAAAAGGTTCCGATAGACTCATTGAAGGGGCTCGAAAACAAATGGTGAGAAAAGTAATTAACAATTTTACTAACAGTGTCTCAGTTAGCATCAACATACAAGTTGCCCAGAAGATCGCCCTAACAATTTCTCCTATAGGGCCTAAGATCCATAGATTGGACCCCGGCTCTACAGAATACAAAAGCAGGAAACATAACACACAAAGAATAACAATAATGTGTTTGCTATACTGGTATCTGACTTGTTAATAATAATAATAATAATAATAATAATAATAATAATAATATTGTGATGATTCGAAATGCAAATTCTGTGATAAATATCCAGGAACAATTGATCATCTTGTATCAGGTTGCACAATATTTGCAACTCACTGAATATAAAACCCGGCATGACAGAGTGGGCCAATGTCTGCAACTTTTACGGGAAGGAAACTGAAAGAAACTGGTATAAACTTCATCCAGACCCAGTTACAGTGATAAGAACTGAAACAATTTTATGAGACTTTACAATATACGCAGACAGAACAATTAAATCTAATCGCCAACAGAAACTACAAAAAAATATAAAGTGCTTTCTTATTCACATGGAAGTCCTAGCAGACTGTAATGTATTTAAACAGACGGATCTTGATGTGGAAATCTAAAAAATATGGCAGATGAGGACGTCAATAATTACAGTTGTAGTTGGGACCCTCGGTTTGATCGGAAAAGTTTACCATAGACTCATTAAAGGGATCACTGGAGGACCATGTCTTTAAAAAATATACAAAAAATTGTAATCACAAGTATAGATCCCGAAGAGCTTTATCTAGGTAAAATGTGTGTGATCGTGGAATTTTTTTTTTTTTTAAAGATGCTGAGCTTAGGTCTCTGGTTGGGATCCGGAAGGAAATGTATATATATATATAAACAAATAAATAATACACAAGTTAACAAATTACGAAGGCACACATAAACAGAAGTAAACGTAATAATGACCAACAACAAATAATTAAGTATCTGCCAAAAATGTATGTATATCAAAATTATATATATATATATATATATATATATATATATATATATATATATATATATATATATATATATTGTTTTGTGTGAGTGTGTATGTATGTATGTATCTGAGATAAGGAACTATGATTACATTTTGCATTATTTACATTATTCGAACTGTTATCCTCATCTTCATTGCCATATTCACAACGTTTCGGCTGTTGTACGCTCCGGCCTTTATGTCTATGTCTCTCTATATATCTGTCTATATCTCTGAGATGAGGTATTCGGATTACTTGCATTATTTACATTATTCGGACTGTTATCCTCATCTTCATTGCCATATTCACAACGTTTCGGCCGTTGTACGCTCCGGCCTTTATGTCTATGTCTCTCTATATATCTGTCTATATCTCTATGAGATGAGGTATTATGATTACTTGCATTATTTACATTATTTGGACTGTTATTCTCATATTCATTGCCATATTTACAACGTTTCGGGCGTTGTACGCTCCAGACTTCTTCAGGTGATTGGAATTGTTTTTCAATATCTGTCTATATCTCTGAGATGAGGTATTATGATTACTTGCACTATTTACATTATTCAGACTGTTATCCTCATCTTCATTGCCATATTCACAACGTTTCGGCCGTTGTACGCTCCGGCCTTTATGTCTATGTCTCTCTATATATCTGTCTATATCTCTATGAGATGAGGTATTATGATTACTTGCATTATTTACATTATTCGGACTGTTATCCTCATCTTCATTGCCATATTCACAACGTTTCGGGGACGTTGTACGCTCCGGCCTTTATGTCTATGTCTCTCTATATATCTGTCTATATCTCTGAGATGAGGTATTATGATTACTTGCATTATTTACATTATTGTAACTATTTCCACATATTTGTCTGTTCATTTACTTTTGTAATAAATGTTTTAAATTGTAAAGAGATTTTATGGACAGCCTGTAGAGTCATTTGTTCAAAGAATGACAAGAAATCGAGTATCGTCTTGATGTACTTCGTACAACTAATGGCGCCCATATAGAGGTGGATTAAATTAATGATGTAATGAATATGCATACACCTGTGTTTCCCCTCGCAGTAATATGATTGGCTGGTATCAGCCATAAATAGAGACTGATGTGGAGGTACAAGACGACGCCTATTTCCACATATTTGTCTGTTCATTTCCATTCGTAATACATTTTAAACTGTATTTCTCGCTGTTTAACCCCGCCTTGCTAGGATTCAATATGTCCTGTAAGTGTTAAGTTTTCCTAGTCTTCTTTTCTCATGTGTTCCAGAAATTTGAGCCGTTTCTTTGATTGTTAGCAACAGTTTTCTTGTAAGTCCTCTTTTCCTTAAAACTTGCTCGTTGCTCATATGTTATGCCATTCGTTGTTAGAATCGCACTTCAAGCCCACTCTCCATCTGTAAAAATGATTTGTCTTTTACAGGTTATCAACCTTGTGCAGGTTATCTAATATCAAAATATATTTTTAGATTGTAAGAACTTTTTTGAGATAATAAAGATTTAATGATACAACTCCTACTAATTAACCCATAGCTGGGGGAGAGAAGAGGTGAAGTCATACCTTCCCCAAAGGTATTTGCGCGTAAGTGAATATAACCTACGCGACTGGAATTTGAACCCGTCTCTCCGATTTCCAATTCTGTGCCGTTACCAGTTACGCCAGCTGCACATCCAAGCTTACAACACCTTTTATTAACAAGCTGTCACCCATCTACGTACTGACCAGGCTCGACATTGCTTAACTTCTGTGTTTGTACGAGTACCGGTGTTTCAACGTGATATAACCTTGGGCTTCCAACTGTGAGGAAAATCAACTACCATATAAGAGATTAAATACATCATTCGCTGTTTTCCACTGTTTCTCTTGCATTCAGTATAAGATGTGGGTGTTACATTCTCTAAACCTTCTTTCCTCAATATGTGTCCTCGTTGTTCAAATGTTTTGTCTATGACCTTCTGCATTCGTTGGTAGAACCACGTTTGAAAACTCCTGTCCACGTATGAGAGAACTTTTCAACATTCACTAACCTATAGAAGGGTTGACATTACATAGCAGTCCATAGCACAGTAGCACCCATTTAGGTAATGACATGACTCGACGTTGCTTAACTTCGATAAGCCAATATTATTAACGATAGAGAACAAGATCAGGACTTAACGAGGATTGACATTACATCCCCTCCCAAGACACTTTTCTTTATTACTTTGGACATTTTTAGATTCCGTAATATTGTGCTCAGTTTCTGAAAATCATCTAATGCCTTCGATGTGTAATGAGCGTATTAAAGTCTCCAAGTCTTCTTTCCCCACTATGTATTACCCCAGATTTTAGTTGTTTTTTTTTCTACGGGTTTACATCATTTTTTGTACTTCCTATTCTCGTTAAGACTTCCTCATTGTTCATATGTTAAGTCCCTGGTATTTTCAAAGTCGAATATATTTAATCACATCTTTTTCACTTTAAGAATATGAGTGCTCCATACTTCACATCTAAGCACTACCACATGAAAGGGGAGATCTATAGAGAATTTTCTATGAGAAAAAGTGGGGGTTCTGTTTATAACTTGGTTATAAAACGAAAGTGATCCCACATCTAATATACACGCTGTTAATCAAATAATGATTATCTATTAGTTATAGCACTATTTTCATATAAACTTATTTGTTAGTTGCCTGTTCAGTTTTGGTATTGTCCACATTCATCAATAGGACCATGTCTTTGACGCTTCGAGTGGTTGCTTCGTAAGTATTAAATTCTCCTAGCCTACTTTCCTCATTCCGTGGGGAAGAAATTTGCGTCGTCGCTTTCTAAATGTTAGCAACGATTATCTTGTAGTTCATATTTTGTTAAAGATGTCCTTTTTGCTCACCTATTCTTTTCATTGTAATCTCATCTTTCATTGGTTGAACCGCATTTCTGTGGCTTCAACACTTTTCTATCTGTGAGGAAATTGCCTGCTATTCACTACCCTAAAGGAGATTAGATAAACAAGGTGTCCTTAAAGCATCTTTACAATTAAAAAAATATGTTACAAACATAATTGATGAGATATCTTAATCAGATTTGTTCTATGTATTCAGTAATTATCAAAGTTTTTAATCACATTGAAGTCTCTTTTGTACTTCCTATTCTCTTTAAGACTTCCTCATTGTTCATATGTTATGCCCATGGTATTTGCAAAGTCGAATCTATTGAATCGCATCTCTTTCGCTTTAAAAATATGACTGCTCCATACTTCTGGCCTTGTGCCACATCAAAGCACTACCACATCGAATGGGAAACTATATAGACTTCTAAGCACTGCCACATGGAAGGAGAGAACTTTATAGAATTTTCTATGTGAAAAAATGGGGAGTCTGGTTATAAAACGAAAGTGGTCTCCCACTTAATATACACATTGTTCATTAAATATTGATTTTCTTTCAATCTTCCTTGTTGTTCAAATGTTTTGTCTGTGATATTCCCAGCATTCAATGTTATAACCTCGCTTGAAGATTCCTCCCCACGTATGAGAGAATTGTCCAACATTCCCTAACATATAGGAGGGTTGACATTACATAGCAGTCCATAGCACAACAGCACCCATCTAGGTAATGACAAGACTCGACGTTGCTTAACTTCGGTGTTTCAATGTCATATCCTGCAAGCCAACGTTATTAATAATACAAAACAATAAAAGAAGAGCACTTATGAAGACGGAACTTAAATTAAAAAGGCGGTAAAAACACGGAATTAAATTCTGACAGCACCATTATGTGCGCATGCGTACCTAATTATATTTTACAACAGCTCACCCATAATCGTTATTGCATTTAGTGCCTGGATTTATAAGACTGTGTATAAGAGTTTATTTTCGTTGGCTTTATCATTTGTTTTTATCTACAAGTGTAATAACCCTTGTGGAACAAATTTCGTACAGTAAATATAATAACGATTATGGGAGACCGGTCGTATAATATAATTTCGTATGCATGCTGCTGCCTAAACCAACAATATGTATTTGAAAATAAAATAGATTATGTGTCAGAGTTGGTACCCACCGCGCCAGAAACAGCTTCCTGCTTTGACTTCAATTCCACGACTCAAGTAAGAATGAGAAGCCAATGTCCGTAAGCAGAATTTGAAAGAGAAATAAAACAGACGCGTTTGAAACAGTTTTTTTTCTCCTTCTACACAACTTGTTTTTTATTTATATTTTTAAACTAGTTTCGTTCGTTTGCTTATTTATTTATTACGCATCTTTTTCTATAATATCATATATATATATATATATATATGTGTGTGTTGTGTGTGTGTGTGTGTGTGTGTAAATGTTAGCATCGTCGTAGTAAAGCCTAAATAATTTCACCAAACCTGTTTGAATAAATAGATACTGCCTAAATGTACACAATTTAAACTCAATGATCCAGCAGCTTATAACACACACTAACAACCCTTCTCTCTCTCTCTCACACACACACACACATATATATATATATATATATATATATATATATATATATATATATATATATATAATAAGAAAGGCTCAAACCTAATATTCCATGGTTATAATTTATTACACTGGAATCCCAAATCACGATCAAATTCATCAGACCTCATTTCGCTTTCTCGACAGCTTTAAAAGGACTTGAAGCAATCGAGCGTCTAGTCACACTGAGCTGTCAATCCTTTGATACCCTCCATATATATATATATATATATATATATATATATATATATATATATATATATATATATATATATATTGAACAATAAAAATTCTTAAAAAGTTAAAATTTTCAGACAATATTCTTTCGTTTTTATTATTATTTCATTTAGATTCCTCGACTATTTTTCGTCCAACATGGCCATCATCAGGAAAAAAATATTTGCTTATTGGTAGCAGTGAATACATAAATATATATATATATATATATATAAAAGAAATATGTTGTAGTAGTTCCAACGAGAGAAAAGTATGTATATTAAAAAAAAGAAGAGAGATTCTGCAAATGTTTTTAGTTGTAATGTGGATTTATTTAGAAAAAATATTATGCTTTGTTTTACATAATTTTACGACACGTGTTTCTGGTCTCGCGACCGTCTTCAGGTAAAAGCGGAGATTTCCACATATTATTAAAAATAATTAATTTTTTCCTTATGTTCAATGTTAAATATTCTCGATATGAGACATTCTCTGTTTGTGTGTTGGTAATCCGAATTTCTTTCTTGAATATATATATATATATATATATATATATATATATATATATATATATATATATATATATATATATAAATATATATATATATAAATATATTATATATATATATATATATATATATATATATATATATACGCAGATTATCCTTGGACTTAATAAACATTTAACAATATAGATAGTATTATTATATAACCCCACAAATGAGGACCTACCCACATTTCTCACCCACACAAGACAGACATGCTTACGGAGGTGTTCAGGCCTCACAATTATACACACACCCACACGAATATACACACTTACACACGTCATACTCACTCACTCCCTATAACCAAAAAACACACACACATTTAACAGAGACACATTTCCTTTCCAGGAACCAATAAAACTGTAAGAATGACCAAGAGAGTTCAGAGCAGCATGAATCCATCCAGCTCTTATCTTAAATAACAACTTAAAAGTGACTGTTTGACCAACACTAGGTTTGACCAAAATTCATGTTAAAAAAATAAAAGAAAACAAATGAAAACTACAGACAAAAGTTCATTTTCTCCATCAAGATATTCATTTCTGTAGTTCACTGTTACCAGCAAGTAGAATTTTTTTTCTCCTGATGATGGCCATGTTGGCCGAAACTAGTCGAGGAAGCTAAATGAAATAATAGTAATAAAAACAAAAGAATATTATTATACAACCTAGTGTCTCTGAAGATTTTAATTTTTTAATATTTTTATTGTTCAAAATATATATATATATATATATATATATATATATATATATATATATATATATATATATATATATATACATGAATCATTCATACAAAAAACAAATATAGAGGTTAATGATTTAAATGGCGAGAATACATCTTCGCAAACAATTTTAATAAAGTACACTAACGCCGAACATGTATATGAATGATATGATCCCTGTTTATAAATTCCAGTTTCATAAGGTCTTTTAAAATATTTTACATTTTTTCGTCTGTTCCTACAGACATCCTCAGGTATGGAAATAGATTTTGTTCTTGTTTTTACTTCTCGGTAATAAGAGGACAACGAAAATAAGATGTAATCCGAAAAAAATGCTATTTAAAAATATTGTTTTAAATATATATATATATATATATATATATATATATATATATATATATATATATATTAGCAAATATAGCAATAAATGAATATCAGAGGATAATTTTTATAAAATTACTAGGGCGTTCAAAATCCCTATTGCAGACAATTGCTCAGATACAATGTGTTTGTTGGATTGAACTGACAGAGCCCTTTTATGGTTTTATACTGCAACTATTTAGCAGACCTTAGTTACATATATTTCTGGGAGAGATAGAGATATGTTATCTAGCATGACTAACAATTTGAAAAAAGGCCAGCACGCTCAAGCCCTCAGTCACGATGACTTGTGTTTAAAAATTATTTAAAAATTTCTATCGACGGTGATTAAAAACCGTCTATCCAATTTCATTGTGAAAAGGCTTGGTTCAACTCGTGGTATGGTTTTCAGATACTTTCCAATATAAAATATAGTTTTAATGTATGCTATATTTATGGGTTCA